TGGCTCCCAGGAAGGAGTTCTTTATGTTTACAGACTCATTTGCCATTGGCTCTTGTTACCTGGCTTTGTTTCAGTTTTCTCTCCTTTCTCACAACTTTCTTTGGTCATAGGATAAATGCTAATTTTAAGTTATGGAAACAGGAAGCCTACAAAAGATGCTTTAATTGTTGAAAGTTAAATTAGAGAGAAATAAAAAGTTTTTTCAAGCATAGGCACAGATTGGAATACTTTTGCATTAATTAATATTACAAGCTTATATGTATAATGGAAAAGTTACTTTGAAGAAAAAACATTGCTCTTCCTAATGCCATTAGCACTGGCAGTATTCTCCATTGTATGTCATTCCTGGGAAAGGTTAGGAAGGCAGCAGTTTGACAACTTCCATGTGTGGCAGTATGGAAGCTTAATCCAAAAACCTCAATTCATCAAAGATACTGTATAAGTGCTTGGAAACTGTTATGGTAATAATGTCTGAGAAAAGGGAGAGAAATGCTTAATGTGGTAAAAGTGCCTGCAGGGAGTGTCCCAAGTGCAGGGCTGGGTTCAGCCAGATGACTCACTTCTGACTGAATACTGGAAGCATTCCTCTTCATGGTTCACTCTGAAATACATTCCCAGTTATTTGTGTGTACCTTCTCCATACACAGGAGCTGTTGTACTCGGGTTTTTGGAACCTGAAAATAAGCCCTTTATTGATGATGAGGTCAGGACACTTCTGGGAATGGTGGCTTGTTGGTTACCAGCTGCTCCCCAGCCAGAAGGAGGTTGTCCTTCTGTTTTAATAAGTTGTGCTTTGTTTCTTTTTCTTACTTAAAAAAAAAAAATTACACTGTCTGCTGTGATATTTCTTTGTGATGGAATTGGTAGACTTGGTAGACTATAAGAATTACTGGCAAAATGTTTCAAGACAGAAGTGTGTACATGCTGGGTGTCTTCCACACGGAATCTTTGCACTGCTGCTTGTAGAGTGTGTAGATCTGTGAGCAGTGCTCCCCTTCCATTCAAGTGGGATAAGAAATTGGCTTTTTAGGTTGTTTGGGCCTTACAGCAGTTCCCATTGGTTTCAGTTTTTTGTTGCGGCACATTTGGTGTAGATCAGGGAGCCTAAGTTGAAGCTGGAAATAAAAGCCTCACAAATAGCAGTGAAACAAGCACCTTCATTAGCCTTCCTTTCAGTTACAGTAACATTAATAGGAGAAAGCTCTGACAAGATCTTCTGTGTACAGCTGTAGGTAGAATTTAACTCAGCAGCCAACTCCTTAATCACTGGATTTTCTAGAGTCTGCAGCCAATTCTGCTCTATATGGTATTGCTTTTTTTTTGCAATACATTGGTTTGGGAATAATACTGAGATACCAGCACTCCCAGTCTCAGATTTGAAAACTGTTCTTAAATCAGTTGATATTTGTCACTATGTACCATTACTATTGGTAATGATTACAAAAATTCAAATGAGATTACTGAGTGGTTATTAGACATGTTTAAAGTCAGTTTGTACATGATGAAGAAATAATGACATGAATGACATGATAAAGAAATAATGAAGGTGTAGGGCACGTGTCTGGTCCTGCAAATAAACTTGAAAAGCAGAGTCCACTGATACGAGGGAGAGGTTGTCAACAGCTGAAGAACAACCCAGTGTTAGTTCAGAAAAAATGTAATATCAAATCATGGCTTTCATAATGAATGTCCTAATCACAATGAGTCACGGTTGTTTTCACCCAGACCATAAGTTCATGGACAAAAGCATGAAAAGAAACTTCTATACATGTGCATTTTACATCCTTATTTTAAAAGTGCCTTGCTTAAAGGTTAGTGGTTTATTGACCTACACTGATGTGTCTTTTGGTGAGTTAGTTAAAACATATCTCCAAATAATACCAAGAAAAATATTACTCTTATGCATATGTGCATAAAAAACTTGTATTAATTACTTAGAAGTATATAAAAGAGCAAATGTGAACCTCTGCATATGCTTTGAGAGGTCCTATGTGGTTCTCAGCTAGGCGTTTAAAGGTGAGTATGGTGTAAAAGACTAAAGATGAAATATATCCAGAGAAGGATTAATAAAATCAGTGAGTTAATAAGAGTTCTGTTAAGTTTTGCGAGGGTTTGAAACTGGGTTGATAAGTGACATGTCCTTTTTGTTCTGTTTAAGAAAGATTGATAATCTGACAACATCTAAAGTAATTGTTTTACAAAACAGATAGAGGGTTGATAGAAATAACACTTTTCGGGGGGAGATAGGGATTGGAGCTGTCTGGGCCTTTTGTCATTGCGGGGTTTTTGTGCTTTCCTTTTAGTCTAGATTTGCAAGCAAAAGATAGTAAAGTTGTCCTTGTTGGGAAATGCCTGGCTGTCACACACAGCATTTTACTCACTCCTGCTGTTTTGAGCTGTATGTTGTCATTCTGTTGAGATGCTCACTTACCCTTACTAAGAAATTTTTATTTATTCTTAAATTTATTAATATTGCTCATCACTCTGACAGTAGTAAATTGCATTGTAGGACTGATTTGGCTGGTGGAATGTTGATAGTTTTATTTTAAAATATTTGTAGGAATTTAAAATTAGTTCAAGATATGCCAATCTAAAATTCTTATGAAACAACTCTGCTTAAAAAAAATTAAAACATTCTTTCCTCTGGAAGGTCAGGGAGGTCTGTGAGGTTACCTGGTGGCTGCACAGCTAACCACTAAACAGAAAAAGGCTGCAGAAGGGATGGTCCATCAAGGAAGGACAGAGAAAATATCCTTTTTCTCTGTGTGTTTTTCAGCTGCTGATGGGAGCAAAATGCTATCTTGAGATTTTCTGGTATCTCTTCAGCCTGCAGAATGTCAACATTCACAGGTTTCTAAGGGGAGTGTGCCAAGGCAGCCAGAGCTGTGGAAGAACGTGTTGCTCAGGATGCCCTTGAACAGCAAAATCCCATTCCAGGGTAGAGGAGGGCCCTCCTGATGGAGGCATGTTGTTGAGCCTTTGATTATACAGAAAACTAAAGAAGAGCAATCAAACTCAGGCATCAGATATCATTTGGCAAACCGTGGGGGAAATGATTGCTGGTTATTTGGCAATGGGAAGGTAGCAAATGGCTGTGCTCTAGTTGTGCAGTCAAGGAAAATACAGCTGGGATTATAACCAAAGGGTCAGTCTCTCAAAACCTGCTACTCCTTACTACGTGCTAGGCACTGTCTTGAATTTAATATATATTAATATATATTTTAAAAGATAACCCAATAAAATGTAAATTCCATTCATAAAAATATGAAAATCAAAACTACCATTTCCCTGCCAGCAGTTACTCAACTGCTTGCACTTGTGTCATGTTTCATATAGCTTTGTATAATGCAACAGTTTCCTTTATGATGTTGTGGCTTTCAATATATATGTATGTCTGTGATTTGAATACATAATTTAGATGACAATTGTAATGTGTATCTTTTAATCTCCTCATTACGGAAGTCACAGCTCTTATTCCATATCAGTGTTCTACGGCAATAACTTATTTTCATAGCAAACTTTATTTTACCAAAACCAGTAGTGATGGTATTTCTTTTGACAGAACAAATTTAAATTTGATGATATTGTGATTTATCACAAGCTCTGTTTTATTTAAGGGGAATATCAGATATGAGCTGCGTGGTGGTTTTGATAGGTGATTTTTCACATACTTCTGTCACAGCTGAAATTCTCTCTGGCATTCTATTTTACCAGCTTGTCATTATTTCCCCTTACCATTATGGTTATGTAAAATGGACAGTTGTTGCCTTTTAAATTTGCTTTTCCTTCTTATATGGTTTCCTTGTGTATGTCCATATATGGAATATGAAGTAGTGAATCACGTTGAATTTCTTTTAAATGCAATTCAAGAAAAGTGAATTTCTCAGTTTATTCAGCTAGTATAGATTGGGACAAATTGTATTTCTGTCTCACCTAAAAGTTTATTCAATGTTTAAGTCTTGTGTGCATTTTATATTTTGTGGTTTTAGCATAGTTAGGTCTCATTACAGTCTTTTAAGGAGTACTTTTTGCAGTATGTAAGACATGTTTAAACATAGTTCCCAAACTTGGTTTTGAAGCCAAAGTAAATGAGGTCTTGTAGCGCCACATTCCAGTCATTCTGACACCAGAAGAGTATCTGCACTAATAATTTTTTGTATTAAAGTGGCTGGATTTTCATATGCCTGCAAGAAGCAAGACTGGACTCTCACATGGAGGAACATTTCAAGGCACTAACAAATGTTTTCAGGAAATCTTTTTTCCTCTCTGGGAAAATAAAAAACCAACCAAGAAAACCTGAAAAAGCAAGATACTCATTTTGCAAAAAGTCAAATGATATTTTACAACAGACTCACTAAAACTAGTTATATTTAATTTTGTTTACTGTTTCATGTTTGTTTCAGGTTTCCTGCTTCAGTCTGTAGAAATACTTCTGTAAGAATTATGCCAAAAATTATCTGAGCACTTTCACAAATCAAAACCCCAAAGTATTTTGAAATATTTGCTTAAGTGGACTTACGTATGTTTTAGGTATTTGAGTGAATGTGAAACATTCAATTTTCATCATATTTGCAGCCCAGCTTGCAAACTCATGAGATTTTTGTCCTGGGAAAAACAACGAAAGAACCTTGTAAAGGTGACAAACCTGATTCATACCAGGAAACTGAATTAAGGCACAGATAAGAGACAAGGCTGAATCAGCTTGGCCTTGTATGGCTGTGCTGAATTTGCCAGATAGAAAGAAGAATCACTTTCTGCTGTCAGTGCCTCTCCTGCAGGGCAAGGGAAGCCGGGGAAAAGCTGCTGATGAGTGTGTGCCCTGCTAGTTTTGAGATGATCAGCTCTTTTGCCATCCCTAGATTTTGAGGGGAAAAGGATGTGGGATGTTTGACAATCCAGAGTACATTTTTCTTCTCCTTGTTGTAATAACAATTACATGTTTTATAGTGTTGATTCTTTTAAATTTACAATTAAAGAGTCCTCATCTTGTTTTCTTTCAGATTCTTCTCATTCTTTTCATCGAGATGAGACCATTGTTATTGCCCTGGCATCTGTGTCTGTACTGGCTGTTCTGATAGCTGCTCTGTTCTTTGGATACAGGATGCTTGCAGGTAGGGATTGACAATATTTTTGGCTTTGCTTTTTTCCATTGTTTATTTGGCTATTGCTCAAAGTTATACTTAAGTCTTCTGTTCTCCCCAGTCCCTGTTATATGCTTGTACATAATGCTGCTCCCCTTTCTCCTCTCTGACATTTTGTGGTGATATCCCATTTATAGCAGTTTGGAGAGAGTTATGACTTCTCTAAGCTGGCATTTTGGAACCTATTTTTTTTCTACAAATCCTCTGCTCAGCACAGTTTAAGTGAGGAGGTGAGCATGCTTTGTAGTTATTGCCAGTGACTTTGAACTATCAAAATAGTTGTGTAGCAGATATCTGTAGTTTGTAGCTTATCAGCACCTTCACTGCTCATTTTGCTGACTTTGAGAAGATTTCACAGGACTCCTTTTTACTTATTTCATCCTTGCTACAATATGTAATTCTGCCAGGTCCCAGGTAAGTTGCATTTTTTTTCACTTGGAGCATGTCCAGAAAGGAAAGTGGCTGATTTCCTCCTCACCCTCTTCCCCAGGAGACCGTAAACAAGGTTTGCACAGTATGAACATGATGGAGGCAGCAGCATCAGAGCCCTCACTGGATCTGGATAATCTAAAGTTGTTAGAGGTAAATATTCAACTCAGTTATTAATCTTCATTTGTATTCAATGTAATGCCTGTGGTCATATCCCAGGCATAGTTACAGAAATGAATGTATCAGTGCTCCTGTAATATTTTCTTCTAAATCACAGTTTCAAGAAGAAATTAAAATTAAAAAGGGGTTACTGCAGGTACATTTTGTCTAATTTTGTTAATAATATTGTTAGTATTAGCTAGAATATGTTTTACCTTGAGAATAAAAAAAAGAAACACTGAGTGGTAGTGGGGAAAATTAGAAGGTGCTATATTTCAGCATTGCATCAAAAGATCCATCTGTTTTGCTTGACACTGCTTGCTTTTAGTACAGTGTCCTACTGTAGGAATTTGAAATTCTTTAGTAACACTCTTGGAAAACAGAATATACTGCAGATAGGGCAATATATTTCAGTAGTGGTATATTTCTGTGTAGTCATTCTTCCGTGTGGGGCACTATCTAGCTCCATGGCAACTAGAGGCCAACCAGAATTTTCTGCTCAGCTTGGTGTTAGATGTATCATCACAAAACTGCAAAATGTTATGCTTCCAGTTGGTGTGCTTGATGGAACATATGGAATTTTTAAAACCTTTAAGCCATGAAAAAAATTAGTAGAACGACTGAGATGCGGAGTGGTGCTTTTCTGCTTTTTCCCAGTAGAAACCCCACCTAGAGATGCAGACTGCAGACATGCAGTGTGAATTGCTGTAATGGTGCCAGCACTGATCAGCAAAGAGCCTTGGGTGTCTTCAGACACCAAAAGAGTACTTTAGGCAGAGTTTAGGAGAGTCTGACTATTGAGGTTTGCTGTTACTTGTCTCTGCCCCAATACGGGAAAGGTGGTTCTGGGCAGGCCATGCTTCAACAGATGAGTCTGGACTCTTGAGTTTTCAGTCTTCAATTGTGTTTATTATTTCTTATCTACAAAGTTCTCTGTCTGTCCAGCCGAGGTCTGATCAGCAAGGCAGCCCAAAGCACTCTGCCCCGCCCACGGGGCGGCTGTGTCTTTTATAGTGAAAATTACGTATAAGATATTTACCTTTTATTTCCGATACTTTTCACCCTTGTTAACAAGTGCACCTTCACCATGAACCAATCCACAAGTGCCAACATCATCCTGAACATGGATGCCAAGGAGAAGAAAGAAGAAGGCCAGGGCACGCCCAAATCCATCTTGGGACTCCTGACCCCCATGTAGAGGATTCCAAACCCCCCTGTACAAGATTCAAAACCCCCCTGTACAGTGCTCCAAAATCTATGTTTCACCCTGTGAATATAATCCCTGCACCATTCAAACCTGAAGATTTCTCATTTCCTCATACACAGATGACACATCCCTAGAAGGGTCAAAGTCAAGCCACCAGACACTTTTGACAACGTTCCAAGACCTCTGAGCCCCGCAAGGGTTCTCTCGGTAGCTCTGGACATCCGGAGCGATGTGCTGAGTTCCCACATCTAACTATACTGTGTATTGTAGAAGTGTGCAAAGCCCCAGATGAAAGCACTTGTACTGACAATGCAGTCTTGGAGAAAGCACTGACTTGGTAGAGAGAAATGCTGTGGTGTCTTCTGTCCTGCTTCTTGTATCCTAAGGAGCTGACCCCTTACCTCCAGTCACAGGGTGTTGTAGGACAAATGTTTTAACCTGTGCTTGCCTTTGGACATCTCTGTGGGTAGATTACATTCCACATTCATACCTTGAACTGACTTGTTGCTGCTTTGCAACTCAGTGATATAAAAGGACTGAGAAACAGAAAGTCTCTTCATTATTTAATAATGATACTTTATTTTTGAAAACTTCCCTGTAAGACTATTTTATAATCTTTAGAAACATTACTTTTGATATCCCTTTTGATACTTTTGATATTTTGATTTTGTTTTCTCTTCCTCCTATATTTGTAAGTATTTCAAAAGTTTAAAAAATGGCTCATGAAGTCCTTACAGTTTCATGTATGGGTCTTTCTGAAAATTATTTTCAATAGGTGCTTAAATTCTTACGTAGCTGGAATTTTTTGAGCTTTAGGAATTAGGGCTCTTCCTGAGGGTGCTCCTGCATTTTGGTTTCGAGTAGAGATCGCTTCTTTCTTCTGCAGTTGCTATGGAGATGTGAAAGGCCATTCTTGAAGACTGTCTAACATAGTGGGGGCTAGAATAAATATTCACAGGTAGTCAGGAATTAATTACTTCCTTCTGTTAAAATCTGTTCACCTCTTTTGGCATCTATTTTGCACCACAAATGCATATTTTGTTACTACTAATCTGAAAGGTACAGCTTATAAACTATCCTAAACCTAAAATGTTTCCTTTAAAGTCTGTGATTTCTGGAGTGAAATGAAATTGATCACATAAAAGCTATAGATCCTTAGTAGGCAAAAGTTGTAAGAGAATTAGCAGCACAAAACACATGTGTTTTATTGATTCTGTATATAAAAGTACTGAATAGATTACTTACAATATATGTACTGGATATTCAGACTATAAATCAATTTAGTAAGTCATATGTTGGCTTGTGCTGAGGTTTCTAACTCCAAAATAGCCTCTATGAAACCATTCTAATTCTGGTTTTCATTACAAAATACTCGCTGCTATCATTGTTCTTGTACTATAAGTCAGGATAAAAGTTGGCATACAATTCTTGTGAGTGCAAACTTGGGTTTTGTCTTCATCTCTTATTTTGTGAACGAATTATTTCTATTTTTTGCAGTTGATTGGCCGGGGGCGATATGGAGCAGTGTACAAAGGTTCCCTAGATGAACGTCCAGTTGCTGTGAAAGTATTTTCTTTTGCCAATCGTCAGAACTTTGTCAATGAGAGGAACATTTACAGGATTCCACTGATGGAACACGAGAACATCGCCCGCTTCATTGTGGGGGATGAGAGATTCACTGCAGACGGCCGGATGGAGTATTTATTGGTGATGGAATATTACCCCAATGTAAGTGCTTCAAAGAAATCGGTTGGGTTGGTTAAGAATCCTAAGAATAGCCACGTGAAAAGGATGTACTTTAGGTTTTGGTGGTGCTTCTTGGACAGTAATGTAAAAATAATCCATATCAATGACAGTTTTAATGGATCTTATTGTGGGTTACTGTAATACCTTTTTACATTTCCTGGTTAGTGCTACCAAATGTAGTCTTACAAATTCCAGCTCTGGAGTATTTGCTCTTGGTTTTGGTGCAAGGTTTTTTTAGTCAATTCTGTCCCTATTCAATGACAGAATTTGAGGAGTTGTTTCTACTTTAAAATAATCTAATACATTTAAAACTTCTTAATATTAAGACATTATCTCTGTCTTATGATCTCACTCAATAGCTGTAAGTAGTGGGGTTTTTTACAGTGAAATGTAATAGATACAAGATTGTTGTCAAAGTAGTTTATGGTACTATAAATCATGCTGCCTTTTTTTATTCTGTTATCTTCTTTAAAGCTTTCTGTGGCATATACTGATGATGTAGAACATTTCTTAAGAAGGCAGCCTTACTTTCCAGAACCTTATCTTCAAATCTCCTTAGCTAACTGAAGGCCTGTATTTCTCAAATTCATAGATTAGGGTACTTCATGTTCTGTGTGTGTACACACAAATACAGAAAAAGAAACATTTAGAATGTGAATAGCTTTGCTGAAAAATCATACGTGGGGGTTATATATATGAAAAGGCAAAAAATGGTGTCACTATTTATCTTTGGGGTTTTTTTGCCTGTTTATGCAAAAGGACCTTAGTTTTTCAATTAAATAATTTTCTCTAACAAGCTTTTTAGTCTCAAGTAAGCAAACTTGTATTTCCTGCGGAGTGTGAAGGGGATGGCTGAAGCCTAATCTTTTATGGAGGCAGTAGGACAACAGCTGCTTATTTGAATAGCAAAAAGGAGCAGAACAGTGCTATGTAGCAGTAATGATGGCTTGTCTTAGGGTTTTTTAGGCTCTGTGAATATGCTTGTATTGCAAGTTAAATGCACCCATGTAAATACATACCTTAAACATAGGTATGTATTTACACACATATACGCTATATACAAACTTAAGGCAGCAAAGCACAAATATAAAAAGTGTCTTAACTGAAAGTTTTAAGTGAGAACACACTCAATCATGTCAGCTTGTAAGACAGGCATCTGAGATTGCAGAAACTGGAAGCGACCATGAAAAAGGTCAGTTGTGCCCATACCAGATGGACAGTGGCAAAGCATTTGATTCTGACAAAACTGATATATTTTCATGTAATAGAATGAAAGTTGAGTAAAATCAAGTGAGTATTCTGCTCCTAAGATGCACAGCATAACTGTCTTCACAGATGATCTGTGCTGTTTTCTTGAATGAAAGGATTTTCAGTTGGAACGTAATTTGATTGAAAATTGTGTCTTGTTGCTTTTGTAAACAGGCTCTGTTAATGACCTGATTAAATCTACAGATGAAGCTTATGACTTCATATTATCAGATTCCTTCCTAATGTGGTATTAAGAACAGCAAGATTAGGCTGAAATCAATCCACTGGTTGTTTGGAAGTCATTGGAAAAAGTGCACAGCAGGTGTAATTAATGCACAGTGTGATCTGTATTTCAGTGAGCAGATGTTCTGTTATATGTGGAGTTAACAGCAGAAAAGGAAGCCTGCTGTGGCAGCCCTACTAGAAGGGAATTCCAGTGTTCAAACTGGAGCCATAAATCTGATTTCAATAAGGACTAACCAATACAAGATGTGCAGATGAAATATTCCCCATCCAAAACGTCGTTCTCCCTCATAATACTTTCCTTCCTGAAAATAAGAACACACAAGCCAGGGCATTTTTACACAGAAAATTGTTCTTGGTGTTACCTTGGTGAAAGCAAGACAGATAGGTTTAACCCAGGTTGTGTTTTTATCCAAACATGCCTTCAGAATGAAGGAAGTAGACAAGTAAAAGGAATGGCATGTGCATTTATCAATCAACATGCTGTTCTGATGGGACTCTGAGGTGGAGTAGGTCAGTAAGGGATCAGCTGGGAGGCATGGCATAGTAGGAAATACATAATAGCCACAGAATTATCACCCCAGTAGTCAGACACTCTTGTCTCTTTAAACAACAGAAAAATTGTTCTAAAACACAAATAGAATCTCTGCTTGTTAAAAAATATCACTTTTATCAAAAGTTATAGTCAGAACAAATATCCCCACTTTAACGTGTAACCCATAACTCTGACAAGATAGTCTTAATACAAATATATCTCTCTCTAAATATTGACTAAAACTTTTCCTGGTTATCATTTTAACTTCACTAAAAGCATAAAATCACAGCCTTCAGCTAGCTTAAAAAACAGGTGATGGGCAGGCTTTGCAGCAGAAAGATCTTGAAGCTGGTTTAATACAGTGAATATTTCCCAGTTGCCTCATGACAACAGTCCTGTGGCCTCCATTAGAATGGGTTGGAATCTCAACCCACTAAGCCAAGAAAAAAAACCAAGCTGATGACATTTGGAAGCTAATAAGAAGGCTCATATTCCTTAAAAAGTTGTAAAAAACAAGGAAAAATGTGAAATTCCTGTTAGGAAGCAGATTACTTGTACTTTACGCTGGAGGATTTAGTTTGTTTGAAATAAATATATTGTCATTGGGGACTGTGCATCGAAGGTGTCACAGTTTGCAGTGTCTGGCTTTGTTTTGGATAGCAGTCTCAGTTTCTGGAATATCTCAGTATCATAGTGGGCACACTTCCTTCTGGTTTTCTTAGAGATTTCATGACAAATCATTAGAAGATCCCCCATTTTACACATCTAACTTCACTTTCAAGAAAAGGGGAACATGCCATTATTTTTTTCCATGTTTTTTCAGTGCATGTGAACTCACTCCTGTTTGGAATTGCCTTTGGGGTGTTTTTGTTTTGACACATAAATAGATTATAGCAAGATCTGTGAGACATGTTGAGTATTCTGTAGGTGATAATGGTCTAAAGCCCACATTTTAGAAACCTGGGCTGTTATGTCTGCAGTTACCTTTATTCTGTTCTACAACAACACTTTAATATAATTTTTTTCTAGAGGCAGTCCCTATTATTCTGTGATAAAATTCCTATTCCACTTTAGAGAAACGGCAGCTCTGGAATTGAATGAAACTTCAGTCAAATATTGTGTTTTAAAACATGTGGGCAAACACATAAGCATTACAGGTTATAAGCAGTGGATAAAACTGAGTCTCCAAAAGATTTTGAGTTATTCTACTGGACAATGATTTTAATCCATGTTTTTTGTTTTGTCTTTTTTTTTTGGTTCTTTTTAGGGTTCTTTGTGCAAATATTTGAGTCTCCACACAAGTGACTGGGTGAGCTCCTGTCGTTTGGCTCACTCCATAACTCGGGGCTTGGCGTACCTGCACACGGAGCTGCCTCGAGGAGGTAAGGCCAGGAAGGGATGCAAAGATCTCAGTATATTCTTATTTCTGTCAGGTAGTACATTCCAGCCTTTATTTATCCTACAGTGAGTAGGAATTGATGAATGCGAATAGAGATTGCTCTGTTCCCTGCTTTGGAACGAGGCTGTGCTGTGGGCTCTGTGGCCCTTGTGTGACAGCGCTGAGTCCGGGGTGGGAGAGGCAGGAGGAGGCAGAGCTGTGCAGTGCTGCTGTATCATGGCAACAGATTTCTGAAGAGCTCGAGCACTGCCTGCCTCTCTGGCACAGGGTAAACAGATGAGGTGTTGTGTCTGTTTTTGCAGTTCAGAAACAAATCACCAAAGCAATTTTAGTTTGTGTGTGAACTGCATGCTATCAAATTAAATCTTCTAACCCCACTGTAGTTTTATTTATCATGTCTCTGGATTTTTGTTGGAGAGTTTGGGCCTAGTACAAACAATGCTGCTGGACTTCTGGTACTTTATATTAGAGTACTGGCTGTGACAATGTACTGATTGGGATCTTTCTATCTCTGTGTGCATGCTTCACCCAGTATTTCAGCAGCTGAAGTATCATAATTATAAAGTAGATATTCTGAGATCTCTGTAATATCAGGCTGCAGAATATGGCCTGGCACTGAAATGTTAGGGTTTTGGCAGTAAATAAAAGGCTGGTTTCATTACATCTGCATTAAGGTGCTAATGTTTGGATTAAAATTCCAAACTATATATCTCAAATGTTAAGCATGAGCATTAGCAAAGAATGACAACTAAAGCTGCTAATAAAAGTGCTGAAAATACCCAAATCAGTATTCCTATGTGCCATTGAAACTGCAGCTATCATCTTAACTTCATCTTTTTGAGATGTGCAGACAGGTGTGTCCATTAGCAACCAGAAAATGTGTAAGCTTTCCATCATAAAAGAGAGACAGCCAGAGTCTGTGAATGCTAGGAAGGAACACATGGAGTAGAATAAATTCTGCACTAAAATGAGCTCTGTACTGCTGGCTGCTTTACTAACAAAATAAATAAAAACTAGGAACAGCTGAGATTATTCTTTGGAAAAGGTTAGATCCCTTGCAAGATGAACATGTTCAGACTCTCTGGAATAATATTGTCTGCATATCTTCTGAATAAGTGCCAATGCTATTTCCAATTGTAATGTAAATAACTGGTACTGAATTTGATGCAGGAGTGTGGAAGTGGCAGAGAGTGTTTGGGATGGCTGTTAGGGCTGTGGCAGTGTACAATGTCTCCACTGCCAAAGTCGTGCTGAAATATCCCTTGGGAAGAAGACTGTTGGTGAACATTAGAACTGTATATGACAGCAGCCTAATATATCGTATAGATACAGTGAAACTCTGCATGCCAGTCAGTTTTCTCTAGATAGCTTCCTCTGGAGCTCATTTTAAAGAAGCAAAAATGTTAGCTTTCTAAAAAATAAGTTGATTCTCTTTTCATAATAGCTGAGCAGACATAACGAGGTTCTCTCATTTTGCCAAACAGCAGGATTGTTCAAATAGTAACAAGCACTTCTGTGTGTCCAAACAGACCATTACAAACCTGCAATATCCCATCGTGACTTGAACAGCCGCAATGTGCTGGTGAAGAATGATGGAACGTGTGTCATCAGTGATTTTGGGCTCTCCATGAAGTTAACTGGCAACAGACTGGTACGACCCGGTGAGGAAGACAACGCTGCCATTAGTGAGGTGAGCACAAATGGTTGGATGAATGTTCAGGTGGTTCTAGGAAATGACTGCAGTATGGGTGAGAAGTGGCTGAAGCCTCCACAGGAAGAAACTGGTTTTTTTTCTCAAAGTACTCATCACAAACCTGCCATTTTGAAAGGTGATAGATTGGAAGACTGAAGTGTCTGTGTGAGATATGAGAAGACACAAGGTAGGTTTGGTTGCCATGTTCTCTGTGATTCTGTGGTACAGGTCCCTTCGGTTTTGTACTGCAAATGCTAACTGAAGACCAAACAGTCTTTGTTTTTAATTTTTGATTTTGGTGTTAGTTTTTCTGAAATGGTGACATACCACATTCTGCATCTCTGCTTGACATCTAATAAAGGCTACTGAAATACAGTGAGACTGTTTTAAATAGTGCCTAAAGAGTGCCTAATAGTTCAGTGTAGTTGTTATCTGTGCTTTTACAGAAGAAGTTTATATGTCATTCAAAAAACACGCTACACAGTGATAATCACCCTCCCTTAGAAAGCAAGTGCTAAATTGAAAATACCTAGTGCAGAAGAGCTCCATCTCCATCTTCCCATACTGAACAAAGAAACAGGGAAACTGCTGGTTAAAATGCAGGGATGTGGAGCAATCCTTTGACAAAATACTGTCCTAGAAGTACTGATGAGTAAGTGCTCTTATCTAACAGATGCTAGTGAAAATTAATAGGTATCTTCCAAGACTTAATAACCTTTGACTATGGAGGTTGTAGGGTGGAGCCTTGCTGACAGTCCAGAAATAGAGAATAAGTTTCCTGTTCAGCAGAATCCTCTTCCATTATGATACATACCTTGGTATTTAACAGAGCAACTTGGAAAAAGAAACACTTCAGCTATATCATGTTTCATTTGAGAACATTAAGTAAGGGACAAAATCATTTTGTTTTGGTACATACAAAGCAGTGACAGAGTAGGGGAAGGGTTTTGTTATGACTAGACTGGTAAGAATCTAGAAACTGAGGACATTGATTAGGAATGATCTGTGTTTTCCTTAACTGTAGAGAATACGAAGCAGAATAGGGCACAAAAAAACTCAGTTGAATTTGGAGATGACTTCCTGACGTGAAGTGTTGATGTGATGTTTTCCCAGGTCGGTACGATCCGCTACATGGCCCCAGAAGTGCTTGAAGGAGCAGTGAACTTGAGGGACTGTGAATCTGCTTTGAAACAAGTAGATATGTATGCGCTGGGCCTGATCTACTGGGAGATCTTCATGAGATGCACAGACCTCTTCCCAGGTAAGGAGAGAACTGCAGGAAACCGTAACAGTAGGAAATGGCACCAGCAACCAAAGCTGCTCCAGAGCCGAGCTTTTGGAAGTGGAGAAGGGAAGCAGTTGCTCGGTTGCTTCTGCCATTGAGTCGGTGCCATCTAGTGTTCGAGGCGGTGCTGGTCAGGACGGTGCAGCTGGGCGAGCTGTGCTTCCTGCCCAAAGGCTCACACGACCTGTTCAGGTGGTTTGCAGGCCTCATGCTCAGTGCATTTGAGCATTATCATTGTTGTTTTTATTATTGTCCAGAGGTTAAAAACACTGAGAGTTAGGCTGATGGCAAAGGCGTGTGTATCGGTTCTGAGAACTGATAGAAGTGCTTAAAATGTCTTTCAGACTTTTCACCATGAAAAAATGCTATGACTTAATGTAGCCTTTAGTTAGTTGTACTTTTATTTATGATAGGACTTGGAAAATTCAGGGAAATCCTCCCTACCTGTAACATGAACAAAAAGGAAATAGACGTAAAATTTACATGTGAGATTGCGCCACATCCACCATCTTCTGCCCAAGCTACAGCATACAGAATGAATGTAAAATTCAGCATACTCTCTGCAGTCAAACAGCTGTACTTTGTGTGCAGATGCTTGTAATCTTGCTGGGCTTCCTCCTGAATGAAGTGCATGAACATCATCAGTCAGTGGCATTTCACAGAAAGTAGGTCTTGTCTTCAGGCTCCAAGGCATTCCAAATGTGCCACTGAACCAGGAAAGTCTCAGGATGCTATGCTTTGAAAGGTTGCTGAGCAGCCCTTAATTCATTTGCAGTTAATTCAGCTTTTTTTGGAAGTTAGACTTTGGGGAAAGTGGGGAACATCTCGATAGACAGCAACTTTGATAATGCCTTTCATCAACTGAAAGCCTTTGCTCTGCCTTTTAATCTGTGATTGATTTTTTTTTCCCTTTCTTTCTTTTGCTAACAGGGGAATCTGTGCCAGAGTACCAGATGGCTTTCCAGACTGAAGTCGGAAACCATCCCACTTTTGAAGATATGCAAGTCTTGGTGTCTAGAGAGAAGCAAAGACCAAAATTCCCTGAAGCATGGAAGGAGAACAGCCTGGTGAGAGAGAATATTTTCAAAGAAACAGTGTATTAACCAGCTTTAGGGTGTACTCATTTCTTAAAAGCAATTTCTTTCTCTTTGTTAGTATTTAAGGATTGAGGGATGTTTCTGCATGGACTCCTTAAATACTGAATTCAATTTTTAAAAGTTATTGACATGAAAGCCAGATTTCTTTTAAGGAAAAATACTATTATTGTTGTTGTTGTTGCATTCTGCAGTATGATATACCAAAGATAACTGTTACATTAACTTTAGACATTGTCTGTGCATGAAGTGCCCATGTGTTCTCTGTGTGCTGAATGAGAAACACGAAACCATTCTTGGCCTTTTGGCATCTTATAAACTAATAAAACTGAACTAGGATACCAGCTAAAATAGCTGGCAAAAAATCAATATGCTCTTCCAAAACTAAAATTGGTAAACATTGTAATAAACTTTTTTGAACTTATATAGACCTCAGGATTTGCAGGGGCTAAAGCTTCTAGAAATAATTTCATTTTAACTACATAAAAGATTTTATATGGCTTCATTTGATCTGCAATTTTTTTTCAGGACTATAAACATTATAATATTGTTTGTTGTTTTGAGTGAGTGTAGCTATGGCTTAGAACCCTGCTGCTGTGGGCCAACAAGTTAGAGCAAGTCAGCTGAACTCTGGTGAGAGTCTGTGCTTGCTTTCATCTGCAGCAAAGTTCAGGCAGTGTGAATCCCCTTGGCTTAGAGGGGGCTGTTTCTCTTTTATTACAAGCAGAGTGCAATGCAAGCAGTGACTGGGTTCCACCTGATACAAGGTAATGCAGCTTAATTGCACGGCTGAATGGCGTGTTTAGGTGTTATTTAGAAAGATACTTCTTGTTATTCCCGTATTGAAATGATGCCCTTCAATCTTCAGAGACTTTGGTGGTTGACAAGTTTGCAGCTACTGTGCAGACAAGGAGGAGCCCAAGGCCTCACCTGGTGCTGGTCCTGTAAATGTGTAGGAACCTGCTTTCAGTGGTGCTCTGCAGTAAAACATGTTGTAACGGAGCTGAGGGCTTCCAAGAGAGGTGTATTATTACACGCTTTTGGCCACCCAGTCTCGGGGGCAAAGGGAGAAGAGGAAAAAAGAGAAATCAGTGCCCAAAGTATATAGGAAATCAAACAACAGCTGTTTTAACTATGGCCATGTTGGCAAATGCAGTGTTGGAAGAACCAAGCTTGACAGCTGTTTCTGAAGACAGTTAAAAGCAAAACAATTCAAGGTTTGTTTTGTTTTGCAGACTGCCATTTTAAATGTTAATTATGTTCTAGCAAGCTGATAGACTGCAGCATTATTAGATGATCCCCATATTTGAAATGCCTAGCACATTCTTTGTGGTGTTACTATTTTTTTTTTCTGCATAATCAAAATGGTGATGGTAACTCCAGCTCTAAGAATTTATCAACACCATTGCTTTAAGAGAAAAGAAGAATAATCACAGGTGTCAAACAATTTCCTCCACCTTATGCCAGTCTAGGATAATATCTGAATGAGAACTCTAGAGCAGATAGTGTAGAAAATTACGCTCCAGATAACCTCACTCTGGACCCACATCCTAACCTCCTGCATCTAATGCATGGGATAAAAGAATTTTTTTCCATTATTTAAAAACTCTGCTGTTATGTTGTGTTATAACAGCATTTATGAAACAAATGCATTTGTCTTTTTCATCTATGAAACAAATGCATTTGTCCTTTTCATTTGAGAAATACAAATGTGATTACCTATGCAGTCTTAATCTGCTTCTGGAAGCATCTATGTTATGTTACAGATCTTGATTAGCAGTATTGTTTTTCGTAGTATAAAGCAACAGCCTGAGCACAGGATGTACATAAAATAATTAAAAGGCTTTAAACTGTGTTGAGATGTTGGTACATTCTTGTCTCACTTGCCAAAGTGGGGCCACGCTTGACTTCAGAGGTCAGCACTGAAGGGATATTAACAGAATAATAGAATAATGCAGATTTCTGGTCCCTTCTATCTTTTTGATGAGTGCTAGTACTTGTAAATAGTTCATTTTAGCATAGTTGTCTTTCAGCCTGAAATTAATAGAAAGCACATAATTGTGGTAAATGTGATGCTGAAGAACTCCAGTGTTGATAACTGTCTGTACAGCCACTGCTGTGTCCTTTAATGATCCTTAACACATCAAAAGGAAAGGACCTGCTACAGGACAGACAGTATTAAATTAAACACTGGTTTAATTTGCTGCTGATGAAACCTGTAGAGAGAGTCTTGCAAAGAGGAAAGGCAGGAGATTAGGGTGTCCACTGACGTAGTCTAAATGGTGACAAAATCAAGTCCTAAAAGCTGAATGAAGGTGTTTTATGGAGAGAGAATGGATCCAGTGCCCTATCTTGTCGTTGTCTCTGAGAGTGTTTTTAGACTCATGTCCCTCAGCTAAGGGGATGGTATTGGATTATCCCCTGTGATCTCTGTGGGAAGGGAGATGAAAGGTTTGCTTGTGGGGGAGCTCATCCCCACCTGTGCAGCCAGAGCTGCATCACCCAGCAGCAGTGATTGCCAGGTGCAGGCAGTGCCAGGAGCTCACTCCGTGGGCGAGGAGCTCTTGGCTTGTACTCAGAGCTGGTCCTGGCTTCCACTGCCAGAAGGGCACAAGGCAGCTCTGGCACAGAGACAGTCAGCAGGACTCCCTGAATGCCTTAGTGCCCAGCTGGGATTCTGCACAGTCCTCAATCTGGAGAGGTTAAAGCTGGGCTGTAGATGTGAGCTGTGCTGGCAAACCAGATCCTCTCCGTGGCCATAGGCTGGCAGCAGGGGCCCATAAATGTCTGCCTGGCTTTTGTGCTCCAGATAGAGTGGAAACAGAAGCATTCAGTGCTCGTAATTTCAGTTGTTTCCTCTCCAGTTCCCTGAACATATGCCAGCATGTTTTGGAGGTCTTGAGCTCTAATCCTGACTGTACAGTTCATCCCACAGCATGTTGCCAGGAACACGTGTGTGTTTCTGTTTCTCCACCTGTAAAACAAGTGCAACAAAAATCTCTTCCCATGATGCAGACAAATTCATTGGTACTTACGAGACATTTGGATGTCACTGTGGTACCCAGGAAGACAAGGATGATGAAGTGAGCATGGCTGATATTTGCATACAGTGCAGGGGAGCAAGGCAGTGACCATTAGCAGAACTGTGAGAATAACCGTGGCAGCATTTCCAGAATATCAGCAATCCTTAGTACACAGCTCTCACAAGGCAAGGAGAGTGAGCAGAGCATGCATCCATCAGAGGGCTGGCTGAAAGTTGTATGGACATTGGTAAATGTAGCTTTTCCTAAGTGTCTTCCCAGTGGCTGTGTGTATGTGGGGTGATATTAGCAATACTAGCATATTGCTAGTATTAGGTTAAATTAGCTTTGAATCAAATTGTGTATCTTCTGTTTCTCTCTTTCACCAGCTTGTGACTGTTTTCAGGCATGCAGAATGCTGCCATAAAACAGTGACTTACAAGCACAGTATAAAGGCAAAATAACTAAAAGGGGTTTTATCTTCTGGCAGGCTGTGAGGTCACTTAAAGAAACAATTGAAGACTGTTGGGATCAAGATGCAGAAGCTCGACTAACAGCACAGTGTGCTGAGGAGAGAATGGCAGAGCTCATGATGATCTGGGAGAGGAATAAATCAGTTAGCCCAACAGTCAATCCTATGTCAACTGCCATGCAAAATGAGAGGTAAGAAGAGAACACCTTTGGGTTTAGTCAGCAGGAAATGCCCAGTGCAGCGCTCAGCTCCCTCCAGGACAGAAGCTACAGCTTGCTGCACCCATGAAGTGATGTGTGTTACATGACCTGGTCTGCGTATGGGTATTGCATGGCATAATCCCAATTGCTTGTGTTCTTAAGATCTCCTGTGTGTCCCCAGAATTCAGGCACCTTTTATATATAAAAACTGTATTTCTCACAGAGGGGCCTTTTAAACTGAGCTTAGGCAAACTGTCTCAGCAGGCTCGCCATGATGTGAAGTGACAAGGTGAATTGTCTTTTAAGTACACTTGCTAAATGATGCATCAAACTTCTGTTTAAAGTGTTCTGCTAAAACCTGTGAATTTGCAGTCAGTATGAGTTCAGGAAATTGCTGAGTCTCAAAACTTAGTTTTTCAGTTAACAAACTGCATGGCCATTGTTTAAGTCGTTGTTACTCTGACCGCAGCAAGAGAAGTGCTGCATGTTCTCTGCTTATATATGATCCAGAGGGAATGAGAATTTGCAGAACTGACTTCAGTGCTTAATAGTATACTCTGGAAATCCAGATTTGAGAGCAGAATAATGTTGCTGCATATGATACTGTTCATTGTCATAAAAAAATATTATGTTCAAATAATAAAATACCTAAATTGTCAAAATAGTAGAGTTTTCATGGGTTAGGACCTTGTGACATTTTCCCAGAATCACTTTCTTGATTTAGTCTGTTGCATTTTTGTTGACCTTCTTCAGCATCACTTCTCTGCATCTAGAGCAGAACCTTAGCAGTACTTTGCCAACTGGACAAACAGCATATTGGACAAATAAAATATTACTGTTCTCCTAGGAAATAACATCCATCATTTTGCCCTAGTAAAACCTATTTTCTTATCCCCAGCACTTTTCAAGTAAGTTGCTTAAATACCTCAGTTTGTATCTATCTTCAGTTTATGCATTAAAAGGAACAGAAGACACTCAGCTCTCTTAAATGAGAGGCATTATAGTATGAGGTGATTTTTACATATATGATCTTAATATCACTTATTTTTTTTAAAGGAATCTGTCGCATCATAGACGTGTATCAAAGATAAGGCCATATCCAGATTATTCTTCCTCTTCCTACATTGAAGATTCAATCCACCACACTGACAGCATAGTAAAGAACATTTCTTCTGAACATTCAATGTCCACTACACCATTGACTTCAGGGGAGAAGAATAGAAACTCCATTAACTATGAGCGGCAGCAAGCACAAGCTCGCATCCCTAGTCCCGAGACAAGTGTCACCAGTTTGTCCACCACCAATACAACTGGCCTCACTCCCAGCACTGGCATGACCACCATATCCGAAATGCCTTACTCGGATGAGACAAACTTACACACTACAAATGTCATGCAGCCGGGTGGGCCCACCCCCGTTTGTCTGCAGCTAACAGAGGAGGACTTGGAGACAAATAAACTGGATCCAAAAGAAGTGGATAAGAACCTGAAAGAAAGCTCTGATGAGAATCTGATGGAACATTCACTTAAGCAGTTTAGTGGGCCAGATCCACTGAGCAGCACTAGTTCCAGCTTGCTTTATCCACTGATAAAACTTGCAGTAGAGGTGACAGGGCAGCAGGACTTCACACAAGCTACCAACGGTCAGGCGTGTTTGATTCCGGATGTCCCATCTGCTCAGGTCTATCCTCTACCCAAGCAACAGAACCTTCCGAAGAGGCCTACCAGCCTCCCTCTAAACACCAAAAATTCAGCAAAGGAGCCACGGTTAAAATTTGGTGGCAAGCACAAATCAAACTTGAAGCAGGTGGAAACGGGCGTTGCCAAGATGAACACTATCAATGCTGCAGAGCCTCACGTGGTGACGGTCACCATGAATGGAGTGGCCGGGAGGAGCCACGGCATAAACTCTCACGCTGGCACAACGCAGTATGCCAATGGCACGGTGCCCTCTGGCCAGACCAGCAGCTCGGTAGCGCAGAGGGCCCAGGAAATGCTTCAGAACCAGTTCAGTGGGGAGGACAGTCGGCTGAACATCAACTCCAGTCCCGACGAGCACGAGCCCTTGCTGAGGCGGGAGCAGCAGGTTGGCCACGACGAAGGTGTTCTGGACCGCCTGGTGGACAGGAGGGAGCGACCGCTGGACAACGGCCGGACGAACGCCAACAACAACAACAGCAATCCGTGTGCAGACACGGCTGCAGCCAGTGTCCAGAGTGTAGTGAGGAATCCCGGCCAGACCCAGACCAGAAGAGCACAGAGGCCCAATTCGCTGGATCTGTCAGCCACAAGTAGTTTGGATAGCAGTAGTATGCAGTGTAAGTGCCTGCAGGGCTCAACATTTCCCTGACACCTTTCTACCTAATAACTGCATATATCTGCTTGAATAGAAATTTCCATCTCCTGTTTCTCCTCAAAGCATACTTATTAAATCTCATATAAATGTAATTTCCCTCAGCACAATTTCAGTCTTTTTGATAAAGTCCTGTCTCTATCATTTCCAGTATATTAGATCACTATCATCCTTCCACATACATAGAATAAATTTGTCTTTTCTATTCCATCCACTCTAGGTTAACTTTCATTATTCCTTGCAAGGCTCCTACCTTTGGTAGCCGCAAAGCATATTGGAAAAGTGTGCTTTTTTTTTTTCTGCAGGGGCATCTTACATCTTTTTTTTGTTACTTTTCCTCATTCTTCTAAGAGTAGCTGTCTCTTAAGATGCATTGATAAAAATAATTTGTTATAGTAACTACTTATATGCTTCATGATTTTAAAGCAACTGATTTTACTGTATTAGCCCAGCCTAAATGGAGGGTCAGGCATTTTCTATTTTGCTGTCCTAGCTCCAACAATTAGAACAATTCTTCATCAGGTTGCCATGTACATAAAAATTAATCTGAGTAATTAGAGATGGAATTTATTTTAATAGTTTCTTTCAGAATAACTTCCTTGAGAGTTTTATGGCCAGAGGTCTAAGAGGTTACAATGGGGCTCTCCTTTTTACAGTAAGAATGTAATCATGTAGTTATAGTTCAATTAGGTACATCCTCTGGATCTGAGCTTTTTTGAGCTATTGGAAAGACCTCCTAAGACCTTTCCTTTTAAAGAAAATGTATTACCAGAAGTCATTGTAGTCTTGGCAGGTGCTTGTAAATCTCATGACTGTGTTTAGGAAGATGCTGTGATATTAGTGGAGTAAACTGGGATGCCAGGCATCTTTGGAAAGAAAAGGTTTAAAACCAAACAAGAACATACCTTTCAAGAAATGCAGTTGAATATTCAGCAATTGAATGTTTAAGCCTTCCTTTTTAGTAAGAAACCTTAATTTTTGTCTTAATGTGTTGGTGTGAGTTGAAATCTTACCAAGACGAAGAAAAAGTATTATTGCAGTGACTTTCTTTAATTGAAGGTTAAGTTAAAAGAAGGGGTTATGTAAAGTTTTTTTAACAATCAGATTTTGACTGCTGAAGTTTTATCATAGCTAAAAGTTGGTTTTGCCAGTTTTAAAGCCCAGCATTCCAAATTCTGACTTAATGTCTTAACAGAGAATGGACTATTTTGTTTTCAGGTGAAGTGCTTTGCCAGGTGGAGTAGGATTAGTGGACCTAACATTGCCTTTGCTGTAGTAGCAATGTTCTTTTGTACCTCCCGTTACAGGTAACATAAGATACTATGATTGCAAAAGCCCCATAAATGTCAAATGCTGATTCTCCTCTTTGATGCCAATATGCATTCAGGTAACACAAATTACTTCACTGAAGTAATTTCTGACAGAGAGCAGAATCTAACCCCTTGTTTTAGTGGCAGCTTTTGTAGTTGATGCACCTGTCATGCCTCTGCCACACAGTTGCTTCTGCGTTTATAGATTTTGTTCTTTTTTTCTGTTTCACATAAGTAACAGCCCTGGATTCCAGTCTAATCTTACCTTCATAATCATAATACGATTTTCTGTTCTGTTTTTGGTTTGGTTTTTTTCACCTTCAGTAGGTGACTCCTCACAGGATGGCAAATCAGGCTCAGGAGAGAAGATCAAGAAACGTGTGAAGACGCCGTACTCGCTGAAGCGGTGGCGTCCGTCCACGTGGGTCATCTCCACGGAGCCGCTGCACTGCGAGGTCAACAACAACGGCAGCGAGCAGGCAGTGCCCCCCAAATCCAGCACTGCTGTGTACCTTGCAGAGGGGGGCACTGCCACCACCATGGTCTCTAAGGACGCAGGGGTGAACTGCCTGTGAAACGCTTCAAAAGCCAACCTTTGTTTTGCATTATTTGAAACAAACATGCAGAAGACATTTTAAAAAACTGCTTTCTCCTCCTGTCAGCAACCCCTACCAAGGACTCGCTTTAAATAGATTTCAGCTATGCAGAAAATTTTTAGCTTATGCTTCCATATTTTTTTATTTTGTTTTATTTTTTGAACGTTTTTGCACTTTTATTTAGTATCGCTAAAGTTAAGTCTGTCTGTTTTGACCACGGAATATATATATGTGTATCAAAGATGTGGTCTCAAAATATTTTTTTAAAAAAAGTAACAAAAAAAAGTATTGCTGATAATCAGTTTGGACCAGTTTCTTAAGGTCACTAAGAACATAAGCAGACTATAAGACAGGTTTGACTGCAGTGGTGTCTTGTAACCATGTTTTGATTTCTGTGCATAAGCTAGTCTGTATATTTCTATGTTACAAAGTGTATTCTCTTTTGAACCCCTTATTTTCCTTGTGTCATGTTGAAATGTGCAATAGTCTATAGTTCACAGTAGGCTTTATTGAAAAGTGTGTTTCTAAAACTACCACATGTTCCCATTTTTGTATTTGTTAATTTTTCCTTGACAGTTGAGCAGTCAGCCAGTCATGACAGTGAACTTTGCACATCGTAGCCAGCTTGAAGCAGCTGCCAATATCACATTGTGCTCGGAGGTGACAGTGCATGAATTTTCCCCAACTTGAAAGGGCTTTAAAAAAGGAACAAAAAAAAAGAATCTGAGCTCTGTACCTTTCTTTTGATCCTCCCTAATCAAAATGTGTTTCCTTTATAGTAGTAGATGCCAGCCTGTGAAGCTGAGTAACAAAATGTTGAACAAATGTAAGGAGACAGTGTCAGCCATTTTTTCCATTTTATTTTGAGTGCAGTTTCACTCCCTGTATTTATATAAAACCTTATTTAGATCACTAATGATGTACATTGAAAAATACATTTTATTCAGAAATATTAATAATTGTCATACTTAAAAGCTTGAGTGAAGATAGGTTGTGAACGTATTTTGTTTACACAGAGAAAAAAAAAAATCGATCTTACTTGGCACAAAACAGTTTTGTGATGAGTCACAAGTCTTTTCTGATTTACCTCCTTACAGACAGTATGGGGTAAAAGTGAGCCTGATTACTTATGCAGGTAGATGCATCCTAATTGATCGTTGTTGCCAAGTTGAGCTGAAACTCATCCTCCCTTCAGAGTTCTTAGAGGCCCTCATTCATCTTGTTAAAGTTTATTGCATGCTTTTAAAAATCATGGGTGTTTGTGGGGGAGGGTTGGGGATTTTTCTTCCCTTCTGCTTAGTCCCTTCTTTCAGTTTGTATGCACATTGATTTTAGCAGTCAGTGAATGTGAATGTAATATGTATTGAGATAAATCGTTTATTCACTATCTCAAGTAAACCCTTCCTTTTTCTGGAATCATTGGTTTTACTGTCTACTGAAAGAAAATAATTTTCTTATTAGTTAGAACCTCCTTCCACCTAAGAAATAGCCTTCCACCTGAGAAGCATTCTTTCCAGTTGAAAACACTTCAGTAAAAATTATTTGGATATATAACACATCCGTCTTTGGTAACAAGCTAAGATTTATCACGTCATCTGAAAACTGGTGATGTTCAAAGAAAGAAAATCAATTCAGTCAGCCTGCCAGACTCCTGTGGCAGGATACTGGCAGCAAACAATTGCCTCCCCCAGCCTGTCTCCTTTCAGCTGACTGAAGCAGATGCTCTGCTTTTAAGCTCATTTGTTTCCTTGCCTTCGTTTTACCATTTTTTCCCCTGAGGTAAACTTTGCCAACGCTGTTCTTCTCTGTCTGTTGATACAGCTAATCTAATACATGCCTTGCTTACATCTGATTCTTGCTGTTCCCCAAAATTCCTTGCTTGTTCTTGATTGCTATGATTTTCTCTTGTAGCGCTTCTTAACATTTTTTCTTAGATCCTCCTAGATATCTCCGAGAGATAGCACTATAAATGCAGACTTTGGTTAAGTGTAGTTGTAGGAATATAAGCCACAAGGCACATTTTGAGCTCCCTATGTTCTTTAAGCACCAGTTCAAATAGTACCTCTTGTCTCTGAGGCATAATTATGCTTTCCCCCTGTATAATACAGTTATATCACCCCTTTTTAAAAACACAGCCTTCTTCTGGTTTGACTTTTAATTCACTCTCTGGCTTCCCATCTGCTGCAGTCTCACGTCCCAGATGTTGAAAACCTGCCAGTTGCTCAGCTGGGTTTCAAGACCTGAATCAGAGTTTCTGGCATTCTATTCATATTGCTCACTGGGCTCTCTTCTCCTGTGGCCCCCGTGAGGCTCCTTTGGAGTGTGTGGTGGTGCTTTTTGGTGAGCACTGGTTGTGGTGTTGAGGACTCTATTCTTCACTCCTATCCCAATGACTTTTCTTTGCCTTGCATGTATCATCCATCAGCATTTCAGAATGTGGGCTGAAAACAATATTTAGGACTCTTACTAAGTCAGACTGCTCTGGGGAGAGAAAAATTGCTTCTCTGACTGCTGCTTCTTTCTGCTGAGACAGAATTGCACCAGTCTTTTAGCCTTTCTTTGCAGGCCATGCCTTTGTAAAAATCCAACTTTTTTGTGATCAATGCAATCAAAATAACTTTAATACCAGATGAAGATGTTGTTCTGCAGTTTTCCTTCTACATTCTTAAACAATACTTCTTTGCTTTGCTTTGTCTATTTCTGTTACTTGCTGGAGGGCCTTTGGAATTAATTATTTTTCTTCTACATTCTTAAACAATACTTTTTGCTTTGCTTTGTCTACTTCTGTTACTTGCTGGAGGGCCTTTGGAATTAATTATAATTAGTAGCAAGATTGGCTGTGCAATCTACCACGGATAACTATAATTTGTAACGTGATAGAAAAATGTACTTTATCAGGAATTACCTATAGATTAAACAGATAAAATCTATTCTTTTTTAAAGGTCAGTCAAAGCAAACTCTAAAGTAGGTACCAAAGTACTGTAATTCTGCACAGCTAGGTGAAATCAGATTAGCAGTTTGTTTTAATGTTTAATTTAGTAATGCCTTTTTTTTCCTCACAGCACATAATCCAGTGTCCATCGAATACTATCTCTGTAAGTTAAATTATATTGAATTTTCTTGCTGCAGGGAATCATCCTTAACCAAACAAAATACATGTAGGAGAAAGAATTCTACAAATCAAACACAGGGATAATTGATATTGTACAATAAACAAGGAAAGCAAATGTGATTTATTTCCTTGTGAGATATGATTTTGCTTATTTGATTTTCAAAAAAAGGAAAATTATGGAAGTTGATAATTTCCTATCAATTTCTCATGTATATTGCAGACAAGATAAATATAGCAAAATTAAAATAGAATGGTAGTGTAAATACCTATTAATTGTGCCACTGTCAAATAGGCAATAGTAGAATATTTGTTATGCTAATTTATAATGGAGAATTCAAGTAAAATGATAGAGCAAACAGTTTTGCTGTTTGTCTGTATAAGACAAAATCCAAAATCTTGCTGGGTATAGAAAATGGCTTAGCAGTAGAAGGCAGGAGAGTTGTTTATGTTAATGCATTGTCTTGTTCTGTTTCCTGAAATAGAGATACCAACATAAAATGGTTTTTGACTGTGAATTCTAATCCTTTGAACAGACGTGCCTCATAGTCTTCTAAAATGGAAATTTACAGGTCAGATTATCTGCAGCACTTCCCTGAATTTGCTTGTAATGCTTTACAGCTTGATATGCTAGCCAGTTAGCATTACCAAGGCCTTTCTTGAAACTCCAAGATGCACTTATGCTGCACAGCTGATTTAAAAGAAAACCTTCTGATAGTGTCATAATTAGAATATTTTCAGAAACAACATTTCTGTTCTTGTTTTGCTTTCTTAGTGTCACTTGTTTGTCTCTAGTTTTCATATTGAAAATTACCTAATTTTCAAAGGTAACACGTTTTGATTTTTTTCAGTGCACTGGGCACAAAACAATGCAAGATAGATGCTGTTTTCAGGAAACAAGCAACAAAAAACTCCCATCCCATAAATATGTCAGAAAGTTCACATCCTCCTACCTGTCAGCTTTCTCTAAAAGAAATCTGGAATCCTACCTGCCTCAGAGAGAAGAATAAGGAAGTTCTTTAATTGTATGGAGTAAATTATTGGCCCCAAACTTAATAGTAAGGAATACTTACTTAAAAATATATATGTATACATTGTATATGCCCTAGTTCCAGTGTTTCATGCATTTTGCTCTAATGATATTCTATTTTTAAATGTTAAAAAATATCCACTAATATAACATTACTCTGTCGAACTTCAGGTTAGCATTTTCTTTAATGAAAAATACAAAAGTTCATAACCATTCTGCCATTGAAATGTTACTGTGGACATTTCTTGCCTAATTAGGGAGAATTTTTAAATTGACATATTTAGTCTATACATTAGAAATTAATTATGCTGTAATTTTTACTTGTATAAAATGATGGCTGGTCCCATTGCTGAAATAGGCTGGGTTTAAGCCATAAAAATAATAATTGCCAAGCACAGTAGCATATAAATGACCTGATGTCTAATTGGAAGGTTTGTAGCAGCTCATCAAAGTAAATTGAAATTGGATTGATCAGTCTTTGAAAGATCATAGACTGGACAACTTAATATTTTGCATAAATTGGGATTATTTTAACTTCTTTGTCTGGTCTCCCAGTACCCATTTTAACCTTATTTCTAAAACGTGCTTACTAATTTTTGTTCAACCTCAAGCCTTTCTTCAGTGAAAAAACTATACATATTGCAGTGAAGCCAGATATATATATATATTTTTATGTAAACTCTGTGTGTATTTAGATGCATATGTATGTTGTGTGTAAGTTCCAGGATTAAATTCTGTGAGTTACAGCATCAGATGGTAGCACTGGTAGAAAGTGTAATGTGGGGGTTTTTTTTATATGCCATTTTAAAATGGTCTGTAGTGCATCACAGTAAAGCTGGGATCAGGCTGTGACACACAGTCCAGTAGTTCAAGATCTCCCGTGACAGACTTGTCACTGATTGTTTGGGTGGAATGGATTTATGAGAGAGAGAAACCTGGGAATGCACATGACAAGCTTTATCTGAAGCTGAGTAATTTAAGATACCTCTCTCAAAGATCAAAAAATAACCCAAAACACTTTAAACATGATAATTTTACAAGGCTTTTTTATGTAGTAGCTATAGTTATATGTGTGGTTGCCATTTAAACATAGTATTTTAGTCCATTAAATCCTAAAATTACATTTTAGGCTTCTATATTGTCATATGAAACTGTAGCTATAGAAATGCATCCCTTTTTCATCTCACCCATTCCCCAAGTAGGTTCAGTTTTGACGTGAAAGAGTAACAAATCAGATTTCTCATTTGGGGTTTCTTCTGTACGAAGTGAAATTGGAGGCAGAACTTCCATTTCTGCGAGAACAGATTTGTGCTCCTACAAATCCAAATGGATGTTATGTTGAGCACCTGTGTTTCTGAGGGAACGGGCACCTCCAGGGCTCACAGCCCAGTGCCCTTGGAATCCAGCAGGAGGCTGCCTTTGATTGTGAGCAGAGGAGGGGTGGGTTCTGCTGGCTGTGCTGTTAATCGTTTCTGGGGAGGATCAGCCCTAGGAAAGCTGATGGGGAATGTGGGACTGCAGGGGCAGCCCTGGCTCCTGAGCCGTGCTGGATGTTGCTGATGGGGATTCAGGCTGTGGAGCTGGGTCGGCACAGGGCAGCTGTGGCTTTGTCGAGAAGCAGAACTGCACTGGGGGAGTGGGAGTGGAAGGGTTCAAGATAAATCCTCATTTACACCAAGGCCCTT